CGTCGAAAATTTTTTCTTTTGAATATCACGATTATTCAATAATTGAGGATATGAAAACACTTGGAAACATAGCATATAGTCCTCTGGAGGGCGTTACAGATGCGAGAAAAAAATAATGCACTAAAAATCGTGGCGGCGTTTACTTTCTACCGCTACTGTACATTTGCCGCTCGTCTACTGCCACAGAAACACCTCAAAAGCTGGTGCATTTAACCTTTCTCAAAACCTTCGATCACGTTTCGAGTGAAGTAGTATGATACGCCTTATGACAACGTGGCGTTCACGAAGAAGTCAGGTTCCTCATACTCTTCAAACCCCAAGAGCCGAGTGTCAGCATGCAGTTCAATAGAATTCCCCATCTCTGCAGAGGTGCGTCATGTCTCTGCGTCTCCACTCCTTTTTGTTGGACGCCATCTCACGAGATAGTCAAAGACCAGCTTCATGAGCGCTTTTCCACGTTAACGACGTAAAGCTCGCCTCAACACGCTTGAGTAACAATTGTAAACTCTGTCGGATCTTCTTGTGATGTTTATATCAGAGTAAAGTTAAATAGGCTCAGTACGTGGCAACCGACGGCGAATGTGATTTCATAAGAATAAACGGCATAGAGTTGGTAAGCACAATGACATTAATGTATAATGGATCACCAAACTATCACCATCTCATAGCAGTATGGGTAAAGAGTGAATTGACGCGAGAGAGCTTCTCTATTCAAGTGGTGTTCTTGATGGGATTTTTCTGCGGCCAGGACATTTCAAAACGTCCGAAATTAAAATCTACAGGACCGTTATACAACAAAGCGATCAAAAACCGTTTCCAAGTCCACAGAAGCAAACGCAGCAGCATTTTTTTCACTTTCTTTTAAAGTAAAAGACGAGCGGTCTGTATTACAACGATGGTGCCACAGTCGCAAACGAACCACACGACTCGCGGTGAGCTTAGCCATGTCCAAACACCTTCATGCCGTGGTAGAGCAGTCGAATTGGACGCCGGCTCGTGCAATATGCGGGCTTGCCTCCTCATGAGTCGTAAGCTACGTGCTTTGCCGCCGTTTCTCAGCCACTTTCTTTTCTGCACAACTTGGTTGAAGAAGTTCGTCAACCACTCCTGCAGGATGCCAGCACTGTGACTTCCACAGATCGGCTGCCAAGTCGTCGGGACCCGTTGCTTTACCTGTCTTCATCTTCTTCAGCGCCGCTTCAGTTTCTTTCACAGTTATCGTCGAGAACGGCCCGTACAACGGAAAAGGTCAACGTACGTGTGAGCTCTACTGTCGAGAATTTCGTGATGTAGCCATCCCATCGCTTGGCTACCTTCTTGCGCTCACTAGGAGCCGTTCTTTCAATGGCGGACTTCTGCTAGTCTGCAAACGTATCGCTCGCTCTCGTGCGTCTCAAACTTTTCGCTTACACTACCAAAATGGCTTCTCGTGTTGTCGCTTCGGAGAATATGGTGAAGTCTTCCCTTCTCTCGTTCTTTTTTTACGCGTTACTCCACAGCTATGCCTGCTAGTCCATTTTTTTGCCGTCCAACTTTTATTCAGAGCTAGAACATATCGGTACCACCTTTCCATGAATCGTTGAATTGTCGGTAACCAAATTCCAAATACATAGCAGAATCCATATCTGCAGTTTGTATTCACGATGGTGAGTTTGTGCGAGTTCGCATACCCAAGTATTCGCCCGCCTGACCCATGGCTAAATTCTCCACGACAGCTGTTATCGTGTTTCCCAGTCCCAACGTGCCCACCAAGATTACCGGCGGCAATAATAGCGTCCTGCGACGGTACCTCAGCTCCTTTATCATCTATCAGGAGCGAACTCGTCCTCGGTTCGTTCGGAGCAGCCGTTCTGTGGAGCGTACGTAGAGAAGATGTGGTATTGACGTTGCAGCGACTATGCCTGCAATCGAGTGGCGGGCACGTCCAGCAACGGTACACCAGCACCACTAGCTGTCCTGAGATTGTCACAAAGAACGGCTTTGAGAGGCGGCCAATTCCCCGCGATTTATGACAGGACCACTTCGGTTCAATTACTTCGTTAGCGCCCCAGGGCTTTTACTAACTTTCAGGAGCGGGCGAATGACATAAAAACATCTAGCTCCTCTTGCATGCATACTGTTCTACGCTGCGGTCTTGAGACTTACTTGCCCCCTCTTTGCAGTGGAGACCCTCGCATAATTTTAGCACCCGTCAGGCATTGCAAGTGCGCGTCGGCTCCCGCGGACGCCGTAGCATTATCTCGGAAATCATATGACGTCATTAACCATGAAGATGTGACGTGGATATTCGTAGACCGGGCTGTCTCGAGAGCCTATCCCGCGTTCGGATATCCGCGATCAGCTCAACCCAAAAAAGTGAGCTAAACTAATCCAAATCGTCCAAGGATATCTGTCGGATATAGAAAAGGGTTATACAGTGAATCCACAAAGAATATCTGCCGAAGTAATTTGTCTAACCTAGGGGGAATACAGTCTACGCGGAGAAGACGGTTCTCGACCGAAGCTGCGGTCGCTCTGAGCCAACAACAACCCTCGACGTTCCCTCGCCATGCTTATATACAGTTCTGCAGCTTCTTATCAACGATCTAACTCCACCGCCGCCTCAAGCTTACACCCTTTCGAGCGTCGAGCCATTACTTTGAGCATACTCAATGACGACGTTGTCGTCATGAGCAATTGTCAGTGACCCCTCTGGATGGAGCGGACACAACCACCTGTTGAGCGCACTGCACTCATTATCCCTTATTCGTATTCTATATGCGGGCGCCTTCAAAGGCAAGCGCCGGGAACAGGATCACTGATAAACCAGGTCGCGAATGCACGTGTCGGAACCGTACCTACAAAGGATGCACAAAATGCGCAGGAGGGCGCTAATCATCACGGACTTGCAACCACCAAGCTCCATTGCAAGCCTTCCACCCACCGCGATTGGTGGAGAGATCCGTGTGCTCTCTCGTAAGGCGTCTTTTGTCTACCCTGATTTTTCCGCTCTCCGTCGTATTCCTACCTTACTAGTCGTTTCAAACCCTTGAACACTGCGTTTTGAGCTCTCAACCTTCACCATGGAGCGCTCTTACACACCACTTTTACCCGGGGCGTACCTTTGAACTGTGGTCTCAACCACCGTGAACAGGAACTTGACTACTACTATCAGCATAGCTCCAAAGCTGAAGCTCTTTTCAGCGAATGTATTCAACAACAATAATGATCTAACTAATTGGATATTCGTGATGTCTTGCATGCTTTCAAAGTGGTGGCTGTCCGATAAGCATCGCCACGCCTACATTACTGTTTTGAGAATAACTTCAACATTTATCTTATTATATAATCAATGCTACCAAAACAATTACACAAATGTAGCCAAGCAATGTGAAGCGAATTATGAGATGATTGCATCACACAAAACGGCAAGAACCCTGGATTTGTTGAAAGAGAAACAAAAACAAAAACTAAATATGACTATGTACACACAATTAGATTTGTTCTCCGACGTTCATTACTGCTTCAGACTCTGTCGTTAATGAAGAGTTTCGGTTTTGGGGTTGCCAGCAGTAACCTTTTTCGGACCTATCCTCACCGGCATCTGAAAAAAAAGGTTGGGTTGGTTCCACGCGTAGCCTCTTTTCTCTGAACAAACTAGCATTTAGCACAGAAGCATAGAATGTAGCACAAGCTTCATGTCTGCGAACGACTTTCGATGTTGTGTACGCCATGAAGTAATTCTGTCTATTTTATGAAAAGGTTTTTAACACTAGAGCCGTGCATCGCCGGGTATGCACGTCGAAACTCCCACATCTGACATTTGTGCATCGCCCGGTATGCACATTGATTTTAAGCTCCCCTTATATCTTTTTTCATTACTTCTGTGACTATAGAAGTTCCACTAGTGCCTTGAATCCACTAAACACATGGCTGCTCTCCATCTTCAATTTCAATAACTTTTGGAACTTCAACTTGCACAACCAGTGCCTCAGTTTGAGCCCTCAAAAACTGTTTAGAAATAAACTTCAATGGGCCATTGATCACTGCATACATTTTCTTGTTAGAAGCCGTGCAGAAAGTAGCAATAAGCGAAAAAATCGAAAAAAATAAGCAGAACAATGAAAGGGCAAAAGCAGTAGGTTGCCAGCGCAGTAGGGAGGTTGCAGATGAGTTTGTGTGGGTCTTATGACGAAGTGCGTGGGTTTTATAGCGAGAGATACAGGGGTGGCCAAAAAAAGAGACACTTCACTCCACATTTCAGACAGCATTAATCACACTTTGCTAGAATCAAATCGACTGACCCCAACTCAGTATTAAAGAGCACATTCTAATCTATCTAAAGTTACATGACAGCCTTCTACACCGACGACATCAGAAGATTTTCCCACGGAAACATGGTTCACGGTACGAGCTCAACGAGGTCGTCGAGGTACCATAGACCATTACGACGTCCCTGAAACGCTGGTCAAAAGCGGTCTTGCACAGTCACAGCTAGTGTCTCCTAGAAGCTATTCACCAGTTAATCATTGAAGAAATTATGTAGCAGCTTCAGGCCGGAGCGATTACGGTAAGCCTCGTTGAGCTCGACGGTGACGGCAGATGACGTCATATTCTGAAGACGGTGGGGCAGTGAAGGAGGGCCTGCTTCTGCTTACGGGGGAACACCTAAGGAATATTCCGCCGTAAAACTTTCATTAACATCGGCTCCCTGTGCGACGAAAAGTTCGATGATGTGCGCCATGGGCAAAGTGTCTCTTTTTTGGCCACCCCTGTATGGGTCCTGTAGCGAAATTTCACAAAATGTTCCAAATGTGACATTTGTGCATCGCCGGGTATGCACGCAGGCTAACGCAGCTATGTCACATGTGTGACATGCGCCGAAATCAGTGCGGGCGTCAATGTGTTAACATCAACACCTTATACTAAAGAGGAAGGACTCACCATTATGTCACTGTTCTCCGACCTGCCAAGTAGAACCTGACGAAGAGTTTTTTGAGTTGCCAGAAATATTATGATATTTATGATGCCCTGAAACACAACTGCAGATCTGAAAACCAATACGCCTGATGAAGTACTCCTGTCTATTCTAAGAAAATGATGGACTTGCGAACGGGAAGCTATAATCCATGTTCAATGGCAAAATGCAGCTTTCAGGGACACATTTAGCGAATGAGCGAGTGTGTGCTATTTGTGTGCTATTCTGTGCCAATCGTGTGAGCGAAGTTTGCGCCCCGACCCGCAAGAGTTTCATTGATCAGAGCCTTTGCTCACGGCGTAATGCGGTAAAATAAGACAAAGAAAAGGGCCAGACAATGAATCACCTACAAAGGCGAGACGCAAATCTCGCCTCTAACCAGGGCGTGACAAGCTTTTTGAAAACGGTCTTTTGCATGATATAGGGGCAGATGCGGGAACCACAGAACCATGTTCAATTTTTCCTGAACGGCCCTCTGAATACCAGAAAAGGAGGTCCCTAGTTCGATTCCTCGTGGTAACAAATTTTTGCATTTCGAGTTGACGTGCCAAAATTCGCGCAAAATGGAGTTAGAACCAACCAGAACAATCAGAACTCCATTTTGCGCGAATTTTGGAACGTCAACTCGAAATGCAAAAATTTGTCACCAAGAGGAATCGAACTAGGGACCCCCTTTTCTGGTATTCAGAGGGCCGTTCAGGAAAAATTAACCATGGTTCTGTGGTCCCGCATCTGCCCCTATATCATGCAAAAGACCGTTTTCAAAAAGCTTGGTCACGCCCTGAAAGACCTTCCTGGTAAGGTCATCGAGCAGTGTTGCTTTAGTGTTTCTGAACAGCTTTTTTTTGATTTTTTTAAATATTTTCGGACTGACCACCACAATTTCATTCGCTTTCGGACGCAACAGCCTGTATTCATTTGACCGCGGCATGTGCCTCTGAGTAATGCAGTTCGATAGGAAATGTTTCTGCTGAATACCTTATTCAGATTCAATATGAAGAATAAATTGCTATCGTAGTCTGGATGAAGTATCATAATAATGTCAGGAATAGTGAAGAAGAGAATTGTATTTGATGTGATGAGCGAAATTGTCAACGTCATTCGCAGTAACTTCTTCTGATTTCCTGTACTCTGGTTTGTCATTTCGTAGTGTGCAGTGATATTCTAAAATCATTCAGAACATATCTACGGCCTCCCAAATATAGATTTAGTTATGACTCACCTTATACATTCGAGCGAAAATCGGTATATAGACTAATACACAAGATAGTGTGGCTACTACACGAATGACTCTGAGCATAGTGAAGTTACTGGCAGTCACAGCATTATTCAGGCTGCATGTGATTGGTTCCTTGAAGAATCGTTCTTCAATACTTGAATCCATAAAGAATCAAACTACAATTTTTACAGATATACGGTAGCGGTTAAATGTAATAGCCGGAGCGGTTTTTCGTGCTTCTTTTTTTTGCCAGAAAAAACAATGGTGACCTCGAAAAATTTTTTTTTGAATATCCTGATTCTTAAGACTTGAGGATATAAAAACACTAGAAAACATAGTATATCAATCTTTGGAGGACGTTGCTCAAGCGAAAAAATAATGCACCAAAAATCGTTTCGGCGAACACTTTTGACCGCTACTGTATAAGAGGGATATTCGAGCACTTTGATACTGTGGGATTTGCGTTTAGAAGAACAAAACTCACATCTCTCACAAATCTGTAGTGATAACTGTCCACAATCGTTTTTATAATAGGTATCGATGCTATAAAATACGCCGCAAACATTACTGTAAGAGCATAAGGAGTTCGTTGCTTGAGGTACTTCAGAGGGAACATAACACAGTAAAATCGATCAAGTGATGTAATAAAAGCAAACAGTCCTGAAATTACGTTAATGTGTTATAGAACAGAATGAAAACGATGACTGGATACCGTAAGCAAATTATGCACGCATTCAACACATTGACAACAGCGCGGCAACTATGTGTGCCGCCTTTTTCGCACAAGTCGGACATTGTGGCAACTACGTATCACAGAGTCACCCGTATTAAATTTATTTGTTTGTAAATGCCCAATTCCTTCCCAGGTTTTTTTTGTTCATTCTATAGGGCATAAGAGGCCTGATCAGCTCATCCCACGTTTTCCTTTGATTAACATGAACATGGAGATGAAAAGAGTAATAGAAGTGACTACAAAACCATCCGCATGGCAAGATTAGCGAGAAACAACCACATTCAAAATTTCGGAACTACCAGAGGGAACTTAGCGAAGTTGCCTTCTCATGGCTATAACTCTTCATTTTGGTCGAACTTCCATTTGTGAATAACGATAAGTGGAGAAGATTGGGAACTCAATAAAAACATTTTTTTCAGAAGTTTTGCGTATTTATAGCAAAAATTTTATTAGCAAAATATTTATAGCAATCCACGGTTATAACGTGACGGCGCCTGCAAAATCGCGCATTCCCGCGCGGTCAGGAGAGCCAATACGCGCGATGTCGTCAACGAGTAAAAAAAACAAAACTAGTGTGCGCTTTGCAGCTCATCTGTTGAAAAGCTGAATGACTTAGTACGTAGACACGTATATTCACCAGTATTGTAATACTCTCAATATTGGAGCCTCATCAGCACCTAAATATTGTATAACACAGAGAGGCACCAAAATTTTATTTCAAAAGAATTCCAAAAGTTCACAAAATTCAAAAATTCCAAAAACTCAAAAGTTCCAAAAACAAAAAGTTTGAAAAAGAATTCCTTTGAAATCTTCCGCGATATTTCGGTGTATAACACCTTCTTCAGGCCTGAAATACATTGATTACAGTTGGTAAATTTGGTGGTTTCCTAACCCATATTGATACCCACATGTGTTTGCCACAGCCAAGGATAAAGCTGCCCTTACGGGAGCCGCGCCGTTGGAGTAGAAGAAATGACTTACCGCTCACCCCCTGCTTCAAATAGTAGCGGACGTAGTGTGACGGTCATTACATAAATGCGTGCCGAAATAAATATTAGGTTGGTCCATAAGTCTTGCAACAAACTGGCCGAATTTTGAATTTAATATTTTCATTATCTTTTTGTTCCATTCATCCAGCATGCTACACACCATCAATATCTACAACCTATTGCCAACGCACTAGTAGCTGTTCGATGCCTCTCTTGTAGAACTCTACTGAATTCTGATCGAAGAAAGATCAGATGTCGATTTTGACATCATGATGGTTAGGATGAGATTTCTTCTCTAGGACGTGGTCTGGAGAGGGAAGCAGGTGGGCATCCTTTGGCACGAGGTCAGAGCTATAAGGTGGATACGGAAGAACTCTCCGTCCGAGAGTCCCAAAATTTTCCTGGATTTTCTTAGCAAGAGGTGGTTCAACGGTGTCATAAAAAAGCAAACTTTGCCTTGTTTTTCTTTCGTATTGAAAGCGTTGCATTCGAGCTGTGGACGGTTGACTTTCGCGTTGACTGCGACATCTACACGAAGGGTTTCCAGAGCTCAACTCCTCTCGTATTCCACCAAAAATCCGAGAAGGCCCTACTTGGACGAGGTTGAACTTGAGCAGTAAGAACTCCCGAAGCGTTTGAGCTGGACTGTCGCCGTTTGTTTATAACACTGTACCCACTCCTCATCTTCGGCAAATGTGATGGATGGTCAATCGTAGAATCCATAGTAAGTCGACTTGAACATGACGATGTCAGATCGTGTTTGGAGCTGAATCGGGCTCAAGGCGTGGGGACCAAACTCTACATTTTCGGATCTTCACAAGTCTTTGGAGATGCCACAGTGCTGTCTCCTTGTCGCATCGGAATTGCTCTAGCAAATGATCGATAGTCTATCCAGATCCCTTTTCAACAGCGTCAGATAGAGCATCGTGATTGCCAGTCACGGGTGGTTGGAGTGTGGATCATCTTCAAATAAAAAAGTCAACGCTGAGCAGAGTGAAGCGCCGTGCACCGTGAATTGAGAGAGCGTGCCCTCGCCCATCTTCTGGCTAATCCTTGGTGTAGCATGACTTGCGGAACATTCCAAGCAGTACTCGTAAAAATTAGGGCACGAAGAGCTTTTCGCGAAATCGGTGTAATATCCATAACAAGTAGCGAGACAACGAGCTGGAGGTTGGCTGAAATTGCAAAGGTGGATGCTACGTCACAAACATGTTGCGGATTTTTCGGAGTTCTCACAAAAATTCTCTAGCATCAAATGTAATTTGTTGCAAGACTTATGGACCGACCTAATAGTAAGGACGAACTACGTGACGCTCTACAACCGTTAAATTAGCTGCGTGTCTAATGTCACGTAATTTTTCATATCACATGTGGGTATCAATATAGGTGTAGGGAACCACTAAATTATACCAACTGTACTGTAAGGTGTTACACACTGAAATATTGCGGAAGATTTCAAAGGAATTCTTTTCAAACTTTCTTGCTTTTTGGAACTTTTGAATTTTGTGAACTTTTGGAATTCTTTTGAAATAAAATTTTGGTGCCTCTCTGTGTTATACATTATTTAAGTATTGTAGTACCATAATCTTTTTTTAATGTACTGCGTTTCAAAAGTATAGGGGCACCCCTGAAAATAGCTGTTCCTGGTTAGTATAAAGGTTCCATTGGTTGAGAATTACTTATAATAATGAAATTTAACCTGCTCTGGAACCACTGCACTCTATTTGAGGCATTATGAGCCGTACACATTTTCAACAAAAATTAAAAACTTCTCCCATTTCAAAAGTATATGGACATCCTGGGCAATAGAATTCAAAAGAAATATTCCACTTCCGTCAACTCGTTTCGTTCTCGTTGATTTTGTGGGCATGTTTAGTGAAAACACACTGCATCTAGTGCCTGGGAGATTTGAGTTTCTAAAATCTGCCTCACAATAATTTTCAGATGTTTTTTGTAATATTTCGATCAAAATGCGCGCGGACAAATCCTAACCTCAGACTTTGGTGACGCTAAGCGACTGGTCACCAGAATAGCCACAGTGGATGGCGGCGTGGATGCGAATGAAGGTGAAATTCCACCAGCGATCATCCCTTGGGAGCAAGTAAATGATCAACAAGAACACCCCTACTGTAGTGGTTGTGCGTTCTACTCGACAGAAGAGCCGGAGGGGGTACAGCACAGCTGCGCAATGCATCCCACACACATTTAAGATCCACCACCGAAGTTCCTACGGCTGAGGACCAGTAGATCTTCTCCAGGATACCTCCATCATTTCATGGTCACTTTAGAGGCTTTCCCGTAAGCTAGATGTGAGTTCTGGGGAATTTGTCTACGAATCCTTATGCCGAGCAGTGCATGTGACAGGATGTGGTTTAATACGATAACTGAGCAAGATACTTTTAATTAACGAACCTGCTGTAGGTGTGATGATTACAAAGAGTAAGGCGGGCGTTCCTAGGCATTCCCATTTGGTCAGAGCAGGGAAATCTGCATCTGAAAAAAAAACATGAGTGAGTTAAGGACATGTGACGCAAGGTGATGAAACATCTCTAACACCTGGAATCATAGGTTAAGAAACTCTAGAACCAAAAACACCCTTCAAGAGTATCTAGAGCCCATGAGGACAGGCGGATGAAAAGTGCAAGATGTATTGCGAGAACCTTCTCCATCATCTGGGCGCTTGTTTTTCCTTTCTACCCCATGATTTTATGTACTATAACCAGGGTCAACCGCCCGTTGCGCAAAGAACAACGAGGGGGTCGTATTCGGCCGAACGAAAAGGGAGGGGGTCGTATCCAGAGAGACGGGGCTGCAAGACGGCTTGAAAAGTGCAGTGTCCGGGCAGTGCACTTTCACGCTCTAATGTTCTCCAGGAGCTCTGCACCGTGAGCTGTCGGAGAGTCACACAGACAAGAGCTCCATGGGAGCATTGAGCCGTCAGTCTCATTGTCAGCCA